GTAGAACTTTAACTCAATTCTCAACTATTTCATGAGAAAGTCATATCATTTTTTATTAGAGAATCTATCAAAACAGAAGGATTCTCTGTTAATTTTACCATGAAACGTTTGACTAATTCTACGTCCTCTAAACGTGAGAAACTATGATGTCAATCCTTAATTTTTATGATGCCAATGTTTCAAAATTTGTTAAACTCGATTTTTGTTAATTCTATCCCACGCACAAAGTTATGTATGTCACTGTGTGTATCCAAAAGAAATATTCTTAGAGTTTATAACGTCAGCTCAAATAGATGATGAAAAAGATCAGTAGATATTAGAATCGTGCAAAAATGAAGAAAACCGAGAGAAAGTAACATTATGTGTCAATATCCACAGAATTCTGCAAAATAAAAAAAGATGACCGCAGTATAAGCCTTCCCTTCACCTTCTGACATGACGATCAACTCCCTGATCTTCTAATCCGAGAGAGAGAGAGCTCAATACGAAAAATTTACATACTTGGTAAACTAAACGAATTGACACGATTCAATAAGTTTCGAATCCCGTTTCTCCAATGAACATCAGTCATTTGACACAGGGAAAATCTCTTAATCATACATCTGGAGGTAAAAACAAATTAGTCTAGAACAAAAATTTTCGTTTGAAAATATGGTTTGTGTGCATAGAATTATAAGCTGAAATACTATCAAAATCTTTCTCGTGTTTCTTTTACGTCTTAGAACAAACTCTTAAAAAGTTATTTTACTTCATAATCTTTCAGTACAATGTAGTATATAATTTATAATGTCACATACATTCGTTTTTGCGGGTTTTTTCATACTTATACGACATGTTATATAAAGTATTTTGAAATAGATGAGAACGAAGGTTTTGATTACGCACAATCATTGATAAAAGTGGAAAAGATTCTGCAATAGATCCCATCTATAAAATTTTTGTATGATAACGGTAGAAAAGATCTCGGTTTTTAAAAAATATTTTTTGTTTCACAATCGATCTCAGAATAAATATAGTTTTGATGGATAGAGAAAAATTTTGTATAATAGCTACCAGTTGAAAAAACGTCCATCATAAGCTGAGACAAAGTTTTACTATTTTATTTCATTCGTTCACCTACGAGAAATAGAAGTGCATGTTTTTACTTTCAATAGTGTCATTCAATCTCTTTTCGTATAATCTGATTTTTTATTAATCATACTTAGTTTCGGGATTGATTGTTCAAAACTTTATTGTTTTGGAATCTTTAATTTTTAGATCTCAATAATGAATATGATAGATTTTAAAAATCTATCATAAAGTAATACAAACACTCAAATTTTGTACATAGTTCGAGAGAAATACAATAGGAGTATTATTTATTTATTTTTCAGTTAGTTTTGTTGTAAAAATAAGTATTTCGAACGAGAAAAATGGTAAATATTCATTTTCTAGAATCAAATATTGATAAACGAAAAATATGCCATTGAGAAGTTTCAATAAACTTTATACAATTCATGACATCTCAATATAAAACTTCTACATGATTGTTACACAAACATGCATTAGTGTTTCATTTTTACCCGAAAAAAAATAATAAAAAATTTCAAAAACAAACAGAGAGTCAGCTGATAGTTATTCATTTTCACTGTTAACGTATAATCTCGCAGTAAAATTCATCGGAAATATACCAATCTTTCCATCCATTTTCTTTCCAATTTCCCATCCTTGTTCCCTTGTAAGGTCACTGCCTTCCGGAGATTCTATTACATCAATGAATTCATCTTTTCTCAAATCTAATTCATCATCATTTTCTGCAGCACAATCATACATAACTTTTACACGATATAAAACTTTGGGCTGTTTATGAATTTTTCTCTTATTCAATGCTGGTTGTTCAACGGTTCGAACATCTTTTGGTATGGCATATAGAAGCGCATTAGACGCCGTGGTCACCGATTTTGGCATTCGTGCCGGTTTGTTTGCGTATGAAGGATCCTGTTTATAATGAGTAGATGTGATGTATTCAGTTTTATCTTCCTTCTTATCGTCTCCATCGATCTTTCGAATAAATTCTTCCGTTTGTTTAGCCAAATTCTTATATAATTTTGAATGACAAGTATAAAGTCTTTTAAAACTTTGTACATAGAATTTTTGTCGATTTGAATAGAATTCCGGTAATTCTAAATGCAATTCTTGATTAATTTTAGTATAGTCTTCTTTCGAATTTTCCATTTCTACACGTCGTTGATCCATTTTTGTCTGATTTTCTTGTTTAGTGCTTGCCGTATGAGCTCGACGAGCTTTATCATAGGCGTTTTGTATTTTTCGCTGTTCATCAATTTTCGCTTTATGCAGAGTAAACGGTTTCATATCCATATGATCATCCGCATCTGTATGAATTTGTCGGATAAACGATTTCCATTCAATATCATTATCTTGACATACTTGTAATAACGAATTTCGACCAGTCCAGTTCGAATCACATAATGTTTTAATAAAACCAAAAAATTGTTCACTGGCACCATGAAATTTTGTGATGGCTTTTATGTATGATTCTAATTGATGTTTATACTCTTTGGCCTTTTGTTGTTGTTCCTCAAAATTCTCTATTTTTATTTCTAATTCTTGATCGGTAGTTCGATCTTGACCTTTAAAAAATCGTGCCATTTTATGTAGAAAAAAGTCAATTCATACAACACAAAAGCAAAATATTGAGACAAAATTTCACGGGTAATCGTCTGTACTCGTTTTGTATCAATATCTGTTCTGTGACAAATGAAGTCAACTATACTACTTCTATGCCAAAAAGTGATTGTATTACAGAAGTAAATACGATGTTTCTTCTTTTCTCACATATCATTAAGATGATTTAGTTCTCAAAATAATAGAACACAATAGCTGCATATATACAGGTAAAGCACTTTATTTATCAAAGGTGAGAGACATAAACAGTGTGTTATCTTATAATGAATACAAAGTAACAAAACCATATTTGCTAAAAAGATAATAATTTTTGGTTCTATATAAACAGAAAGAAAAATCTACAATCTTGACATTAAAAAATTCATGGATGTTCAATAAACGGCCGGATGTGTCAAAAAAAAAACACTTACCAACTCTTGTTTCCAAATCAATTTGAATAAAGAACACATATTTAAATATATTTTTACTATCATTCAGTCTTAGTTTTTAAAAAACGTACAGCAGACATTATAAGACGTTTAAATTCATCAAAATGGTTCTAGAGTTCTTCTAAATGATATCTTTTTTTTTTTCATCATGGATTATTTTGCCATAATATACAAAGTACTAAAATTCCCATCCCAACATTAAGGTATGAGATACAGATCTGCTTGGAGCTCTAGCGCTCAAAATAATATCATGTTGGTTTTTGCCATTAAGAATTCTCAAAACTTTTTAGTTCCGTCTCATATCTAATCTATGTGCTGCTGGTATCTCTTGCAAGTATTTTTATTCTTAAAAGACTGTAAAGAAAACGTAAAATTTCCATTTATTTTTTTATTGTATAGTTGAAAAGCAGAGATTCATAAAATGAAGAAAGAATTACATAGTAGTCGTTAAAGATATAGAGTCAAAACCAGTAGAAGACCATCCAAAAAAATCCGCCCAATTTATCTGTTACAGAACTTGGTAGATATATATATAGATAAGAACAGAAAACATACAGGGAAATATATTAAACAACAAAAAAAGTAGTGAACATTGAATAGATTTATTATTATTATTATCATCATTGCATTGTCTCTGAGACTTATGAAAACAGCTTTTTCCCCTTATCTAATCTATACAAAAAAAAAGAAAAAAAGTTAAGAACAAAAAGGTCCAGCCTTAACGATACATACACACACACGCACACATAAACAAACAAAGCTCTTAATCAAGCACAATTATTTCATTTGAATGCGAACAGGAAGACGATAAGAATTTTTTAGTTTTCTTATTACTATTTTCTGATGGTAGAGAAATATTTTCAGAATTTTGTCGACGTAACTCTTGACCGTTTAAAATAAAAACTTCTTTTACTTTTCCTTCAAGTGCATGTCTTTTCGGTGGTATAAAAAATTCAACCATTCTCGTTATTTGCTGATCTATTTCTGTATCATAAATATTCAGCGTTATTTGCGAATTTTTATGTAATAAATAATGTGAATGTAAACTATTTGACGTAGAATGTCCATAAATTATCATTATTCGCTCATCACATAAAAAACATTTCAAACAAATTCGATTAAATGATGATGTACTCGTTTGAATCATAACACAATCATCTGAACTGTCATTATTTTGATCTTCCAATAATGATGGTTGATCAACAACAATCTTTTTCATTCGTTTATTCTTTAATTCTAGTCCTGCTTCATTTGGTCGTTTTCGTTTTTTCATTTTAGTTCCGTTTATGGGTGTACGTTTTGCTTTTTGAATTTTTCGTTTCTTCTTTGTTGTTGATGATGACTAAGATGAAAACATCAAATAGAAGGTAAGAAGACAGAGAAAATACAAATATACAAAGATAGAAACAAAAAAGAAAAAATTGCATACTTGAATCATCAATTCCAAATCGCACGATTCTAACCGAGACAAAACAATTTTGCAATCTTTGATTATTGTTTCAATTGAAAAATCTCTTTTTAAAGTTTTTGTACTCAATTGTTCGTCTAAAAAATAATAAAAACTTGTTAGTGTAGTCAAAGTTGTTGTCTAAAATCATTAGAAACTACCTCTTCTCACAAGACCACGAGAATGTGAAAATGTTAGTTGTGATCTGTGATAATAATAGTGTACCATACTTTGTTGAGATGATAGCTGTCGATGATACTGTTTTGAACAACAATATTTTTCGTAATCTTTAACAATAGGTATTGAACGTAATTGAGGAAGAACAGAATCAATTGCTTCTTTAACGAGAACATGATGTGTTTTTAAATTTAATAAACAAAGTGGTGCAGCATATTTTTTATTCAATAATGTTCGTTTACGTAAACGTTGATTATAACATGTTAATAATGTTGACGGCATTCCATCATTAATCGGTTGTTCACTGGCTGACGTCATTTTTGTTAGTTTTAATTTTAATCCAAGAGATGTCATTAATGAAAAAAAATTTTTATTGTTTGTTATTAGATGTAGTTCCTCTTTTACAATTGAATTTTGTGATAATGATAAATTATGAATTTTACTATTATATTTTGTAGAATGATCAATATTATTATCATTCTTTTTCATACTCGAGCAATCATCGGGTAATATTGTATTATTAATTGGCTTTTGTGTTAACACATCATTATCGTATAAATTTGACATGTCGGGTGGATTACTGTTCTCATCAAATGGCCAATGTACACGACAAGAAAAGGTTTTTAGTTGTTGATGAGGAATACTGATCGTTAAACCAATACAATAAGCCATCTAATTTTAGTCTGCTCTCACTAAAAGTCCGAAAAGTTTTTCAAGTAAGAATACTAGTAAATGTTTTTTTTTCAGTCTTTAATAAAAAAAAGCAGTTTGCTCAATAATCTGCTTCTTTGCAAACACTTTCTCGTCTAGATTCATTTTTTTTACATTATTTTAAAAATACAAAAAGTATTAATTTAAGAAAAAAGGAACAAAGATGTCATGAGAGTAGCTTTGTTTATGCAGAAAGAAGAAGGTGGCTACATCTATCCAACACTCTTCGCAAGAAACAAAACAATCCGCAATCTTCTCGTAAGAAAAACGACAGAATGCTTTTTTTAACATAAATAGACAACGGGAACAGAATATCAAAAGGTCACGATACTTCTAATTTGATAAGACTTACTTTACCCTCAAAAATTACACAATCATAAAATATTCGGAATAAAATACAGATATTCGAAATTCGAATAATGTTTTTTCACAAAATAAGGGTTTTCTCAAAAGACATCTTTGGATTTTGAGCTCTTTCCGTCTAAGTGAACTATCATATCAGTATCAAAGTTCACGGTGATTAGATTTTGACACCACAGTATTCGACCAACTAAAGCTACTATCATGCCATACGTTAACTATACAGATTCGTTCGAATTAAATCAGAACGCGTTTCAATGATACTACGATCATCTCCTACTATGTGTACTAGTGCTTTCTAGCAAGTTAATACTGATGGAACATTGTATGACACTAAATATGAAAAAAATAAACCAAGAAAAATTAAGTTATTGTTCGGTCAAGATAACCTAGCACCACTTTTTTCTAACATTAATTCAATGTCCATTTAAGTTTTATAACGCTTAGGCCTCCAGTGGCGACTTTACTACATATTTCTGGACTATTTGTAATGAAAACTAGCATTTTCTAGTGAGGATGAGATTTTTTGTTTTAATTTTCCTTAATTTGTTTGAATAATCATATTCATAAAAAAGTTATCTTAAAAAATACAGGGGCAGGGGCCGCATGCAAACGGTAACATTTTCGCTCATAAAAAGAAAAGCGCCGTTATCCCCGACTGGTCAATATAAGGAGCTAAATCTAATCATTTTAAATTATGTAGGTCAAAATTGAGCTTTCGTTGATGGAGCGTCGGCGTCAAATAAAATCACGCTGACACTCTTAAAGAAAGCTTTGTTTACGTCGTCGCTGCCGTTGTGTTTGTATATATAAACTTACAAAAAATAGCCATCTTAAATTCCGTTAATGTTGTGCCTCCAAATATGATTTTGTGCATTTTTTTCGAAAAAAATTCGAAGTATAAATATTTGTAATTAACAAGAGTACAGTTTTGTATCAACTTAGGTGAGCTTTTTCATCTGTGTTCATTTTTATAAAATTTCTCTTCAAAGAAATTTGGAAGTTTGGACATGGAGGTCGCGAATATGGTATCGTAACGTGTTCGCTATAAGACTAATGAAATAAGGCCCGACTTTATCGCGATCACTGTTTTTACGGAATTTCTACTCACTAGTAATAAATGGACAATGCTGTTCTTTCGGGCAGCTCACCATGTAAAGAGAGCTATAGCCCCGCGATAATCGGTATTTACTAAGAAGATATAAACAAAGTGCATTGCACTTTTACATACTTCTCATTTTAGACTATTCTGAGGACTTTGTTACAAAGAACCTTTCTAACGTTTGAAGGTCGAATTTGACGGTCAAAAAGTTTTGGTAATCTCATAAATTTAACGGCTGACTGAATAACCTAAGTCGATCTTTGTGCGATAGCTCCTGTGTGATCAGGGTTTCCGATTGTTCTCAGGGATGGAAGGGGCTAAAAATATTTTTTCGCAGGAAGTGTCTGGCGAAAAACGTTTTCTGAATTTTTGGTAGAAAGTTGGTTATGGAAAAACGTCAAAGATTTTGCCGGAAAGTTGAAAAATGTTTTAGGGAGTGGCGAGCCCCCACTCCGTGCCTCCCTCTGATCGAGAAGCCTGTATATGGGCATATTTTTAAGAAGCTTGTCAATAGCTCGTTTTGAAGCGTGGAAAATTCTGTATCTTTCTATGCAAGGTCTTTGAAATCATACGAAAAGTTTGAGAAACAATGTGAATTGGTGACGAAAAATGATAAGAAATAATTTATTCAAGGAGATTATGAGTAATTTTTGAAGGTCAGAAGCGTTGAGAAGTGAAAAGGGAGAATTTCTGGTATTTTTTTTTCCAGTAGAAATCGTTTCCAGTCCTTTGATATTGCTTCGTGCTTGTCTCCAGTGAATGTACAAGATTAAGATTACCCAATTCCATTTGTGGTGTTTAATCAGTTTGGGAATAAGCAACTGAAAACTATCATAACTTGATTCATCCTTTGCCAATCCTTTATTGTCAATGTAGAATACTGCATTGTCTTCTGGCACTTCGTGAGCTAGGTAGTTTGAGATAACATTATGGACTTCCATTACTGATTTTGTAAGTATTCGTCGCTCATCAGTTGGCATATCGAAGGATACAAGATCCTTTTTGACATTGTGTATAGTGCACAATAAATGCAAACTATACATCAGACTATAAAATACAATCATGGTCACATAGGAGCTATCGCACAAAGATCGACTTAGGTTATTTAGTCAACGGTTAAATTTATGAGATTACCAAAACTTTTTGACCATCAAATTCGACCTTCAAACGTTAGAAGGTTCTTTATAACAAAAGCCCCCAAAATAGTCTAAAATGAGAAGTATGCAAAAGTACAATTTACTTTGTTTATATCTTCCTAGTAAATGTCGATTATCGCGGGGTGATCACCATGTAATGTGCTCTTATTTTTCGAACGATTCCGCGACATGGGGCATATAGAATAATTGTCAAAATACTAGACATATCATAATTTTCATCTATCCTAACGCTTTAAAGGAATACTTCTTTGACGCTTCTACTCAGATCCGGAATGTTTTCTATATAGAAAGATAGAAAATTTTCTGAGCTTCACAATGAACTACGATATTTTGTTTTAAAAGTTTGCTCTTATAAATTTATTGGCTAAATACTGGAGGGTGTTTCACAGAAATTCTTAAGTGCCCGACTTAGACTTAAGTCATACTTAAGTCTCCGTTTTGTCTGAAGTTAAGCTAGACTTAATTTTGAGTGTTTCACAAAAAATTCTTAAGTCATAGACTTAACTTAAGTTAGACTTAAGTTTACGCTTAAGTTAAGAGTAGTCTGTACTTGTCTTAAGTTTGTCTTAACTCTTGCTGCGATTATAATATGATATAAAAATTGAAGTATTAGAGTAAACAAGCAACATTTTTTAACTATAAATACAATACTTACAATACCGAAAATGCTTTATAATGATGAAATGTAGCTAATCAAGATTTTAGTATAACATAAAGCCTCATGTTATTAAAAGTGTCTTCATTTTTTCGTAGTTGTAGACACATGCTAGACCATCAATAAATCGTCTGTCATAGTTTCCATAATGTTTTATCTGTCAAAAAAATTTCTTTCACAGCGATTGTATTTTTATAGTTTTTTCTTTCCTTTTTTGTTTAGTCACATTTTTTGAAAAATGTGCACACAGTAACGTAGAGACGCGAACTTCTAGAAACGTGAAATGGTTCTCCAGGTACTGCAGATCATGACTATTGAGCGTTCTTTTTCCAAAATCTAAGAGATAAGACTAAGACTGTTTTCTTCACGAAAAGTGAAATCCGCTCTGGATCGGGCACTAAAGGATGCAAAAGTGGAAGAAATTTGTGCTTATGGCTTAGAAATTTATCATATATTCATTAACAGCTTGTTGTCAGACGCTTGTTAAGTCTTCGTTTTGTACGCTTATGTGTTAATTTTATACACTTAAGTCTAGACTTAGTTAAGTCGAGCACTTAAGTATTTTTATGAACCTCCCCCCTCCCCCCATGAGCTTTTTTATCTTGCCTTACAATGAGATGAGAAATCTTTTCTTTATGAAAAAATCTATAATTGTGTGTGAAGAAAACAGTTTTAATCAAAAAATATCAGATTTTTTTTGACATTTTGATGCTTTTCGATTGAGCAATTTATTCACTGATCAAATTGTCTATTTTGCTTTCTCTTTCAGGTCTAAATCATTCATCTAATTAGTTAAAAATTTGATGATCAAAAATATTAATACCTAAATAATCGTTTTCTCTAGTTGTACTAATTAGGGATGTTTAGTTCTCGATTCGGTTTTGCAGGAAGAACCAGAAGCGCGGTTCTCTTGTTTTCGGTTCTTCATCGGAAACCGGAACCACGGTTTTGTAGACGGTTCCTTTTTTTGGAACCGAGACTTTTTTAACCATTGATACTACAGTTTTATTTCGCGAAAGCTATATTTAGCGTTCCTGAGATATACTTGTGCGCAACTTCTTTTACATGAGATCGTCTATACCTGGCAGAGACCGAAACGGGTCGGGTTCGGGTCAAGGTAAAAGATATTGGTTCGGGTCGGGTCGGATCAACTCACGTTCGGGTTCGGGTCATGTTTGGTTGATCCGTTTCGGTTCAAACTCAGGTTAATATAAGAAAAACTGTCTGAATTACCCAAACTTTTCCACTCATAAAAGGAAAAAATTCCAGAAATCGTAAGGGATCTGACCATTCCTTTGAAAAAATTTTAAAACAATCTGACTAAGATAACTTTTCTGTAGGAAAGAAGTGTTTCTTTACGAATGTGTTCGAAAACATTTTCATGTTTCGGCTATACCCAAGCGTCAAAAAAAAAATCTAGTATCGCTTTTTGCCTAGATTACTAGATTTTTACTCGATTGCAACTATTGAGTGACGACAGTGAAAATCTAGTAATCGGGCGATTGCTACATTTCATCTAGTTGCAACTACCGACTTATCGCTCGATAATCGATCGATTTAACTATTGCTAGTTGCACATGCAGACTCATCTAGTTAAAAGTCCCTTTTCCAACTAGTAATCTAGATGACAACTAGTCGTGTATCGCCCGATTACAGACGAAATGTATCTAGATTTTTCCCATAGATGATGTTTGCTGGGTACTTCGGATGACGGTGGAAAAATTTTCGTGTTCGTTCGGATTAATGTATAAGGTATTAATTCGAGTCGGGTCGGGTCAACTCACGTTCGGGTCGAGTCGGGTTCGGGTCATGTTGGTTGACCCGTTTTGGTCTCTGATACATGGCAAACCCATCGACTCTTCTTAAATACGAGATAAAGCCAATATTATTATGTCGTTAAACTGGCCATAATGGCACGAAAAAAGTCATCCTTTCTCGAGATTTCGTTTCGTTCTTAAGATATTACATTTTTCGTACATCTATCGGATTTCGTCTAAAATGACCCCCTAAAAAGTCCTGCAAAGATCTTGAAAATCTTCGTGTAAAATTGTACTATATAAGAAAATTGTCCTTGTATCCATAATCTCTTTGTCTTGCATTTCTTTTAACAAAATGAAAACACACTATTGACAAAGTTGCAAAAAGATATATTGGCATGCCATTATTTAAAAGAATCCTTTCGTTTACTATAAAATGAATTTTATTTTGTTTACTGCCTAAAAAATTCTTCTCCGGTTCTAAGGCTTAGAACTGGAGAAGAATTCTTAGGCTAAGAACCGAGAACTGAATATCCCTAGTACTAATAGCAGGATGTATAATTAGCGAAAGAACAAGCATACAAATAAAGTAAAACGAAAATAATCAATGTGTTCCACAACTTTGATCTTTTATCATTTCCCTATTGATATTTTGAACTTGTAAAGAACGCCTTCTTTCAATCTTCTATTAGATAGCAATTTAATTTGTTTCGTTTTTGCATAACGATATGGTTTCAAAAACTGAAATACATAAATTATCATTAGTTAGCACGCTGATAGCATCACAACATACAGTTTTCTACTCCCATCTATCCTCGTAGATCATCGAGGAGGCGCTTCAGTTGTTTCCATGTTACTATCAAATGGCAGATAATATGCGTAACAGATGATACTCAGTTTGAATTTCTGTTTAAATGAAGACGTTTTTTCTGCTAAATGAAAGTAATTTCGTATCCTCGATCTGTACTAGAAACAGCGTTCCCGCTTGTCAGGAATCGGATTTTAAGTCTAGATTTATTTAGTTTGAAATAGTCGTCATTAGAACAGTGCATTATATGAAAATATTAAGTTTCTTCTCTTAATTTTCTTTAGGTTAATAAATTGAAATCACATTTTTTGCTTTTTTTAGTATTATGGGAGCATGTGTCAGTTCAGACAGGCAGCGTCGTCGAAGAACTAGACGTCGTCCAAATACCGGCACAATTAATGGAGGTATGCGAGTTAATGAATAGTTCAAAAATCAATACTTCTTTGCACACTCAGCAGTAAAACAAATTTCAATTTCATTTCTTAGTTAGCGTTGGACGAAATAAACCATTAAGTCGTACAAAACTAAAGTGGAAATCTGATATACCATTATCAGAAAATCAACTACGTCGGAAACGAGAAGAGTTCTGGGATACAGGTAAGTAAAATCTCATCATTATTTCTCATCATTTTTTCATTATTTTCTCTATGTAGCTCCTTCTTTCGAGGGAAGAAAAGAAATTTGGGATGCTCTCCATGGTGGCGTTTATGCAATCGAACAAAATGATTACGATTTAGCACAATCAAGTGAGCACGCGAATTTGTGCACTCTCGCTAATTTACATTACACACTGTTTTTTTAAATTTTTCAGTTATCAATTGTGCAAATATAACATGTCCATTTGGTAAGCATTTCTCAATATTAATTGAAGAGAATCACCATTAAACGATTCGTTTTAGGTTCACTACTCGATTGTTACGATGAATTAGGCACACGCTATCAATTACCTGTTTACGTTCTTACTGCACCAACAAATCTCGTCGATGAATCAAGTGATTCACCCGAAGGAGAATCAGGTGCAAGCGAAAACGGTCTTGATCAAGCAACATCATCCTCTTCGCCCACATTATCACGAATAACAGGATTAAAAAATCCTGTTCTATGTGATGTAATAAAACATCGTCGAAAAAAATCAACCGATGGTAATGATTCATCAGAATCACGTGTACAATCACCATTTACAATACAAGATACAACAGTCGCGAAGCCATCCGATGCCACTGTACCAATTAAATTTCGTTTATCAAATGGTAAAGAACATAAATTATCTTGTAAAGCACAGGAAAAGATGAGAAATATTAAACGACGACTAGCAACTCTAGAAAATATTGATGCTAAATCACAACGTCTATTTTTTGGTGGAAAACAATTAAGTAAGTGTTGGAATAAAGCAATATTGTGGTTTTTTACTCAGTGAAAAATCGATTTTCTTGTATTTAGGTGATCGTACTACAGTCGACGAAGCGAAGTTGCAGAGGAATTTTGTTGTTCAAGTAGTTATTACCAGTGCGAATGAACCTCTAAATATGTCACCGTTATTACCAACAACAATAACAGCAGCATCAACTGTATCCACTTCATTACTTAATCAAAATGATTATTCGAAAACGTCCCCTATCGAATCATTTTTACCATTAAAACCACCAGAAATCAATCACTTAACAACTACAACCACACAATTAAATATCGCTGTTGCCGGGCGTAAAGAAGAATAGTCGTTTTTGAAAAATGCTCAATTCCTCTCCAGATCCTGTGCCTGCTCTATTTGAATGTTCTCTCTTTTTTTGCCTTTAACGGAGTCACAATTTTGTCTGTAAAACAGTGATCTGAATTGTTGTCTTTTTTTTCTGCAACATAAGCGTACTTTCGCTGACGTTTGTTGTTATTACTAAGTTGATGATTTCTCTTTTGAGATATTTCTTTTTTGAGAGTGGCAATATCTGCTTATTTTTTGTTTTGCTCAAATAGTCATTGTGTATTTCCATTCTTTGTACATTAACAAATTGTATTTTCGAAACTGATTGTCATATTAAGATTATTTCAAGAAACCCTTTTTTATGTGGGTATTCGTCTTGTACAGTTTTCATTGTCATTTCTTTTAATTTAAACGATGTATAATTGTTTGTCCAAATAAGAACATACAAAAAAATCTATATTCCATCCGTTAAGTTGTGTTATAGGAAGAGAATAACCTACTCAGTCAGAAATGACTATGGAAGTTAGTATAGATGTGTGTAAGGAAAAAGATTTTCATACCATAATCCTATAAAAATGGCCTCACTCTGATTCGATTTTACAATGTTAGTGACTGAGAGTATTCTGGACTTCACTCCCGTTCATTCTGTGCTCAACAGATCTTTCCACCTTATGGCGGCTGTTAACATGTGTTCTACTTGAATTTGTTATTGATAATGCACAAAATTGTATCTGCCATACATTATTGACTTTTATTTATGTACATGTGATCTAGGTCAGACGGGTGATGGCATATGAGTGCGTCTCATTTGAGCGCATTCTCATTTTAGTGTGTCTTAGTTTAGTGCGTCTTATTTGGGTGCGTTTTCAATTACACAACTCATTCCTCAAAATATTTTGAAACATTTGAATTGTTTCCGTCACCACTGCTTGAGATTAATTCTCAGTGGTTAGTAATCTTTTATTTTAACATCAAAAACTTGTGAACATTATTTTGACAAAGCAGTTTCATTTTTAAGAAATGCTGTTAACAAAATCTGACAGTTGAGTTAGACCTAGATTAAAATTATCCGTTATACGTTGTACTGTTCTGTTCAGTTTTTGATATTTTAAATTTTTTCGATCTTTATATGTTCCGGCACGTAAACGTTCAATATCATGTTGAACTAAGACGTATTGTGCTTGAAGTGTTTCAATCAATCTCCATACAGTCGGTTGTGTTTGTAGTAGAAGTGACAACTTAGAATGCCATGATTCAACATCATTATTTGTTCGTCGTAGCTTACAATATTTTCGAACAGCTTCATCATCCACATACTCTTGTTGCAAACCGAAATTTTAAAGATTACGATATAAGGCCTGATTGAAATGGAAATTACATCCTGTTATCTCCGATAATGGAAACTCGCCTTGAACCGCTGGTACTTTCAAGTTTCAAAATCGAGAACTATTTTATCGGGTGCAAATAACATCATTAACGCGAATGCTTTATCTTTCAGACAACGTAATAATTTCGAGTATTTTTTTTTCGATTTTCCATTAAAAAAGACAAACGCCAATGGTAATATTTTATTATGGAATAGACCGAAAAATGAGAATAATTGTGTAAAAAGAGGTGTTCCACCTGCCTGTGACGTTGGTGCAACTTTAAAGTTGCCATCAACATGGACTTCTGGAGCATTAAACAACAAACGAAGCCCGTATTCTGTCGCGAGTACCACATATCCTGAACAGGAAATTAAAGCGTTTAAGAATAAGAAATCGAAAGGTTTTCTCTTACCTGAACTTTGAATTTGTAAGAAATTTTCTTCCAACACAATTTTCCATATTTATCCGGAATACAAAGATTTCGCAACGATGTTGGGGTCGATGGTTCATTTTTATTTCCTTTATGTCGATATAATGTAGACTTAAGACTTTCAAAACTGGGTATTGCAGCTGCTATTTGTGGATCAGTAACAACTTGACTAGATGCTTGAAAAACAGCGTATGGAAGTTGATGCTCACATCTTTTTCTCATATCAACAACAACTTCTTCAACAGCAAGTTTTTCTGGATCTAGACCGTGCGAATGTGGAGTTCCTTTAAGAAGACGTGCGTTTTATAGATTTAAGCTTCTTTTCATTATAATATGAGTTACTTACTCAGATCTGGTTTTGTATAACCTTTAAGACTGTTAAGACGATCAGGACAACCATATTCCCGACATTTCCATGAGATCGATTCTGTTTGATGGCGTTCAAGTCTATAACTATATCCTTCAAATTGCGCTGCTGGTTTACGACCTGTTTCGGATATTTCAACTTTAGCCATATTTCTTGACTTAGAAAACAACAGATCATACGATATACAAAGAAACGGTGACTGCTATACGAGTTCTATTGAATGCAAATTAAAAGAAAAGTTTTTCAATTACAGATACATGTGTCGTATTTGAATTCGAAACAAAAGGAGAGTAAACACATATCTACGTTCACATATTCTCTAAACCGTTATGCATTGTGAAAGTCAACATGCAGGTTAATTTGACTCAGACACTTTCAAAATCTATCAATTTGAAAAATGCACTCACATAGCAGTCAGTCATCCTCTCGTTTTACAGTCATCGTCGCGTATGATCTTCTGTTTTCTAAATCAAGAAATATGGCTAAGACTGAAATATTCGAAACAGGTCGTGGTAAACCAGCAGTTCAACTAGAAGGATATAGCTATAGACTTGAACGCCATCGAAGAATCTCATGGAAACGTCGAGAATCTGGTTGCCTGGTCGTCGTAACACTCTTAAAGATTATACAAAACCAGATTTGAGTAAGTAATTCTTATTATAATGATAAGGGAGCTTAAATCTATAAAACGCACCTCTTAAAGGAACCTGCATTCACACAGCCGACATCCAAGATAAAAATAGAAGTAACCATCGCCACCAACATCGTTACGAAAACTTGTATTTCGGATAAATATGGAAAATTGTGTACAATTGAAACAAGACAAATTTTCTCCTGAAAATTTCTTACAAGTTCAAAGTTCGAGTAACAGAGAACTTTTCGATATTAATCAGCCCTTATAACATAATCTTCAAAATATCGGTCAGCAAGAGTATGTGGATGATGCTGTTCAAAAATATTGTAAGCTACGCTATTTCTCTTTTTACTGTATGATCTAACGACTAACAAAGAAAAAGTGCTTCCTTTCGTGATTTTTGGGGCAGTTTTATTTTGCCTTAAATACATTGCAAAAGAATTCCAATCAATAATTATCCATTCAAAATAAAATTGAGTTTGTAATGATCTAAATGCACTTGGACTACACTTAGACTACATAGTATTCTTTTGCAATGTATTTAAGGCAAAATAAAACTGCCCCAAAAATTCGACGGGATCCGTAGCAACAGCATTTCATGGCCGTTAGATCAATAAAAGATTACTAACCACTGAGAATTAATCTCAAACAGTGGTGACGGAAACAATTCAAATGTTTCAAAATATTTTGAGGAATGAGTTGTGTAATTGAAAACGCACCCAAATAAGACGCACTAAACTAAGACACACTAAAATGAGAATGCGCTCAAATGAGACGCACTCAGGTGAGAACGCACTCAGATGAGACGCGCTGACAAAACACGCACTCAAATGAAGCCCCACCATACAGCTCATTTTAATCTAGCTTTAACCCAGTAAAATTTTCTTTTTAGCTCGATTAAGCCACCTCCAAAACATTTTTTTTGTTTTTGAAAAAGAATAGTTCAAACTATTAAATATTCACAAAAATTGAAGAAATCGAGCTCCTATTGGTGAAAATTATAGAAAACGATCTTGAAAAAATACCAGTATGGTACACTCTTGAAACTAAGAGGCCATCATTTTCGAATGAAACACATTTATTTGCAACATTCATATAACTAAACAATAAACAATTGCTTGGAACTAAAACTTTTAGGATATATTCTCCAGATATGTCGTAAGATGCCTTCCTTCATTGATCACTGACGGTGTGTTTAGTTTCTTGCTTGGTGCCCAAGATAAAAATATCAACAAGGTAAAGAAGTGATAGACAGGCAATGGTAATGACCTTTAAAAGAAAAATGTACAGCAAATATCACATTTTTTTGTGTGATTACTATTTGTACAGGTGTTTAATTAAAGATGCATAGTTTCTAAATGAGCAATATGGCTTATTAGACATAAGAAAAAAATATAAACTCAAACCAAGCATGTATGTCATTTAAATAATATATATGACGTTCAAAGATTCATTGCTAAATATAGTTCTTTTTTAATCATTTTGTCGTTATTTTTGTATTTTGTCTGACTACACATTGGATTTTGATGATGTGTAATAAAAAAAATGTGTTATGTAAACAGAATTATTTCACCATATAGTTATAAATAACAAACAAGACCCATATGGTCACTATTTGTCACAGCTGAATAATTCTCATATATATAGGTTAAAAACAAAAAATAAAACTATATATACTATGGTCTCAACTCATTCATTTATAATCGCAATCAACACACGTAATTCTTATAAAAAACATCAGTTTATATCTATACTAATCAAACAACAAGAAAAAGCGTAGAAATATATATTTACAATCTCTTTACATTTCAACAATAACACTGGATTATATCCATCAAATAATCCTACAACAAATCTTCAAATAACACGTTTTAGATTAAATCCAGATGTCCCATATTTATTAATCAATAGCTGGATAATTACTTAATTAGTGAAATTACTCTTGTTCAAAATCTAACTTGAAAAGAACACGACTGCTAAATGCAGAAGGATGTTAGGTTCTATTTCTAGAGTGTTCGGCACCGCACCACCATATCTCCGTCTTCATCTTTACAAAGTGTGTGTCAGACCGGTACTTGAATATGCTTATAATTTACGACAGTTCATTTAATCTCATCATACCTTCTCATAATCGGAAATCTATGCGTTTTAGGGGCTGGAGCGCCAAAAGAGATAATAAGTTTTATTCCTAAAAGAGATAATAGAACGAAAAATGTGAAACTTTTGTAATTCCAAAAGAGATAATATAGAATGGGTATATATTTTATTCTCATCACAAAATCAATCAGAATCAGTATCATTGGGGTGTTTTTTCGTGTTCATATAAAAAACAATAAGCTTTTCTTCATGTTGAACGTTTATAACTTTCAATATCTTTTGTTATTTCATATCGTCGTTTAGCTTCAATAAGCTGTTCTTCATGAATTATAATAAATTTTGCTATTTTTTTTGAAGGTAAGTCTTAAAAGAGTTCTTGTTTACGATTATTACGTGCATCTTCCTTTTCTTTTTGTATATTTTCACCCACATCCATATATTTGGGTGAATAACGCAAATAACATTTTTAGTTCCTTCATCAATCTTAAACATATGATTATGAACATCACTTATACGAATAACGTTGTTGTTTTTCCTTGCTGTGTAGTAGACATTATAACTTTTTCAAAATTTATTTTTGTTTGACAGTAGAAAATGACATGCGTTGCTATTTACTGATTCCATATTTATATAATTGTCTTACTGATGTTGGAGCGCGTTGATGAATACGTTTGTACACTATTTAGTTTGATTTTGTATATACGAGTTTGAATGTATAATTAATTGGGAAATAGTCTGATATTTGAATATGAAATTAGTTGGAAACCAAAAAAGAAGTTAATAGTCTCTCGCTTTTCTATTGTCTGTTTTCTTTGGCAATGCCCAAAGAAAAGATCTCAACAGTAATGATCAACAAGTAAGTGAATGTCGGTAAAACTCCTCAAAAGTTCTGGAGTGGGATTAATCGTGTTAGAACTGGGGGTAATGACCTTCCGGCAAGCATTTCAAATAAAAGCTCAAAGGCTATTGCATCTACGGACGATTCTAAGGCCGAAATGTTTAATCAATATTTTTCTGAGTGTTTCATTCCCAAGCATGGTCCGTGTCCTTGTCCATTGAATCTTATCAATGATACATTTAGTATTGCTCCACCAAGTAAACAGACTATCTTAGACGCTATCGGTAGTTTAAGAAGTGACATAGCTTCGGGACCTGATAATATACCGGTTACGTTCTTACAAAAATGTGTCCCATTTTTAATCGATCAAATTGAACATCTTTTTTCTCTTTCCATTAAAACTGGC